TACTACTACTATTGATAATGATCATGATAATAATGATAAAGATAAGTAAATATGGTAAGGATGATAACGATGATGGCAATGGCGGTGATACCAAACCAAAATTTCAACCAGTAAACATTGCTGTGATTAGTACTAAAGATACGTCTATTGTTGGTTAATTAAATAATAGTAATAAATGCATAGCAACAATTTTACCATAATAACAATCAAGTATGATTTGTTAAATCAAACAGTTTCATCAACACATATCAATCAATAAACAAGAAATAAACAATTCCATTAATACAGATTCGCTAATATGAACTTCATAAACATGATTAACTAATTCGCGTGTTTAATCATAACATTTCTAGATATCATGCATAATTTCACTCTTTTGATATCATTCACATCATTTAATGGCGATCGCAAAAGTGATTTCAATTTCAATTATAGATAAACGTGAAGATTTCACTAATGACCTGAAAACCCCATTTTAACATTACCATTAAATAATAGTACCGAGATTCCTCACATAACTATCATAACTTCTAATCGAGTCTGTATTGTAATAATAAAAAATCAAAATATATACATACCATTGCAACGCTGCCAATTAACTTTTATCTTGGTGTATAAAGGCCGTGACACTAGCACTTTTTCCACATTACTTTTCCGCTGGCACCACGGAAATCGTGGTCATTTTGGCTTGCGCAGTCACACTAGCGATGAGAACCACGGAAGCAGTCCGACCAAAATTCTAAACAGAAAGATGGGTTCAACCCCCGCACAGGCTCTGGCGATGATGGACGTTATTCTGGCTATGTGGCGACGATTTAATGCGAAACAACGAATGTATAAGGTTAAATAAGGGCGTATTCTCGCTAGTCAGCTGACTGGGACAAATGTAAACAAACAGGCGAGCAGCTGGTTACAAACTTGTATCTGTTTTTATTAAATACGAGTGAATTTTGCCAATTTCAAAATATTATTTACAGTTTAGACTGTCTTTTTGAATCGTTTTATATTATAAATACTTTTTTTTTTTTTACATTACTATAACGATTATCTATTATAGCTTATCATTTGAACAAAAAAGACGACGGAAACGCCAGCGAAAACGATAATTATCGTTTGACTGGAATTGATCGCATTCACCCAAAATACAAGCGGTAGCGAGGAAAAAAAACATGGAAACGTCAAAGAACCACGGAAATTGTGCTAGTGTGACACCCCCTTAAGAAGGAAGAATGCAATAGAGCATTTTATATGGAAACTTAAAAGAGGGAATTCATCTTCTTAAGCATTCGCCGTTTCCATAGTCAACTATTACTCTTTACGTATGATTTCCAGTGAATTACAAAGAATATGACATTCCATGCTAACAATTAGTTCCAAAGTTCAGCTGCGTACACTAAAAAGGCATCACGCCTGCCCTTCCTCTCCTGCCTCCCGCTGTGGTGTCCATGAGGGGCTGGAGCGGTTACTACAATAGAGCACAAGACGAAAAGAATAGAGATATGCGCAAGGCACTACAGCAATTTTACATAGAGAGTACATATTATTAGTGATGAATTCCAATATATATCTGCGTATGTTTTTTTTTTTTTTTTTTTTTTTTTTTTTTTTTAACATCTCACATCATACAAAAGAAATTGTTGATAAAATATAAAGATTTACATTAGACGAGGCGGAGAGAAGATAAATAGGTTGCTCAAGCTGTGCTTTCTGCATAAGGAACTGAATAATGATGATGATAATAATAATAATAATAATAATAATAATAATAATAATAATAATTATAATAATAATAATAATAATAATAATAATAATAATAATAATAATAATAATAATAATAATAATGATAATAATAGTAGTAGTAGTAATGATGATGATGATGATGATATTGGTAATGATAATAATAATGATAATAATAATAATAATGATAACAATAGTAATAATAGTAATAATATTTATTATTATTATTATTATTATAGTAATAGTATAGTAGCAGTAATAATAATAATAATAATAATAATGATAATAATGATAAAAATAATAATGATAATAATGATGATGATGATGATAATGATGATGATGATGATGATGATGATGATGATGATGATGATGATGATGATGATGATGATGATGATGATAATAATAGTAATAATAATGATAATAATAATATTTCTTATTATTATTATTATTATCGTAACAGTATAGTTGTAGTAATAATGATGATGATAATGATAATAATAATAATGATAATAACGATAATGATAATAATAACGATATCCGTAACAACAACAACAATAATAATGATAATAATAATGATGATAATAACAACACTAATGATAATGATGATAATAACAACACTGATGATAATAATAATAATGATGATGATGGCAATAACAATAACAACAGCAGGGTTGGGACCTTCATAATTATTCGGCGATGTTTGGAATTATCTAACGTAATCCATTATCAAGCCAATCCATTGGGGGAAAGTTTAATACAGGAA